TCCCAGCACTCCAACATGCCACGGCATATCTACAGAAACCCACATCAGTGTAGCAACTCACAAACATCAAGTATGTACCCCCAAAATAGCCCCTGCCTCCTCCCATGCTGGTACAAGTGCCTCACCTTGATCCTCCTGAGAAGGGCAGGAAAGCATGGCTGTGTCGAGAGGAGCCTGGTGCAAACCGGGAAGGGTCAAACATCTGCAGAGGGAGCACCAGGACCAGGACAGGTGTGGTCAAGCCTTTCCTTCCAACCATCCAAGGGACAGCACACCCAGAGGTAGGCCAAGAAGAGGGTTTGATCTGAAGAGGTCATCCCACCTCTTCTGCCCAAGGTCATCATACCTCTGGGTTTGGCCACACCTTTGGATTGTGGTGAAGGGCATAAAAGGAGAGCGTCACTAAGAAACCTGGGGACCAGAAGAGAGAAGGCTAGACATACATGCTTGTGGGGCCCAGCTGCACCCACACACAGCTTGGCAGCCACATTGAGAGCCACTCCTCATCACTGTGAATGGAATGATAGCGTTGCAGGAGAGATGGGGCAGACATGGCACAACAGGTGTGCATGTGTGCACAGATTAGAAGATTAACCATGGCCAGGCTGAGAAGCAGGAAGGAACTGGAGGCTTACTTTTTGGAGCAACTCAAGGGACAACTCACATTTATCAACTACCATCTGTGACCTCTTGGAAATATCCATGAACACCTACATCCTCACAATAACCTTCCAATGAAGGCTCACATCTCCATCATTCCCATGAGGCACCTGATTCTCAGAGAAGTGGAGCAACTTGCCTCTGACCACCCAGCTGGGATGTGGCAGGGCTGGGATTCAGAGCAGAGAGGAGACGAACAGTGGCCTCCAGCTATGGCAGGGATCTGAGATCTGGTCATCAACTACTCTCTGCCATCATCCTGAGGGCTCCTTGGAGACTGGACCATCTGAGCCATGATGGTGAATTCCCTGATCTCTCTCATTAGCCGAGACCCTATAAGGAAAGACCACATATCCCCCGGTCCCATCTGATTTTCTCTCAAGCACTCATATCTCAAGGAATGAGAATATTAGGGCAAAACACAAAACCACATTCAGAGACTATCGGGTTTTTATTTCTTGGATTTAAGTTCTGTGCAAAGAACACCATATACCTCATCTGAACAACAAATGAAATACTGGTTTTCCTGAGGGGGAAAGGTGTCTCAAAGACATGCACTAACTGTGGTGTACGTGTGGATTTCTGGTCTCTCGTGCATTCCTGCCAACAGTTTATGAGTGAAAATGGGAAAGTTCACACCTTTGGGTAAGGAGCGTCCATCAGGGAAGTTGATGGGCTTGCTGAGCTCTCTGCCAACACCTGGAACTGGTGGATAGAGTCGCAGTGCCTCCTTGATGCACATGGTGGTGTAGGGCATCTGGTCCAGGTGGTCCCTAAAACAAAGCTATCCTGAAGGGTGGGCAAGGCCCTGGCAGCCAGGGAATTCTCTACTTGAGAGGGCAGGGCCTCCCATCTCATGAGCACTCACCAGGTAATGGAGGCACCGTCCCCCAGGAGGCTCTGGATCTCCTCCCGGCATTTCTGCTGATGCTCTGGGTGTGTGGCCAAAGCATAGAGAATCCAGGAGATGCCACTGGCTGTGGTGTCATGGCCCTCAAACATGAAGGTGTCCACTTCTGCACGGAGATCTTTGTCAGAAAGGCTGCTCCTGTTCTGCATCTGGGAAGACACAGAGCAAGGGCAGGTTTGAGTTTGCCCCCCTCCTCCACACTTGTGGGACAAGCCTCAGGCCTTCCCTGCCACACTCACTTGGGCAAAGAGGAGGATGTCCAGGAAGTCCAAGTACCTCTTGCTCCTGACCTTCTCCAGGTTTCCCTCCTCCTGCAGCTGAGCCTTCCTCAGCTTGATCACTCGGTCTATCCAGAACAGTGTTCCCAGGCAGAGCTGAACGCTCTGGGTGCCCAGACACAGACACTCACAGTAACCCCAGTCAGGGTGCCAGGTGGATCAGGAGGAGTTATGGGAGTGGGTGTGTTTGTTGGGGTGGGACCTCTAGCACCAAGTGCTTCAGGTCGTCACTCCCCTCAGCAGCACAGCCGAAGGAGGCTCTGCTTGAATGCTGCTGGCAGGGGCTCTCATTCAACCCTCACCCATGGGGTGACACATGTAGCTGCTTGCATAGCACCTGGCACCCTAACACCTGGACCAGAGGTGTATCCGGTTGGGTGTTTCCCAGGTCCTGGAAGGGCAGGCCGGGGCAGGACTCAGCCTGAGGGTCAGGGCCAGACCCTTTGGGATGTGCCTGGTGAAGGAGGGGAGCTTCCCAGAGGGCAGATACAACCTGTGTGTTGATGGGCAAGCTGGCAGGCCCGGTGGTTCCAGCGGCCTTCAGTGGTCATCCTGTAGATGATGTCTTTCCAGTAGAAAACATTCATCATCCGAGAAAACACCAGGTTGTTCAGGTCCCAAATTGCTTGAAGGTAGGACTGGGAGTTCCTGAAAGGGGAGGATGCAGAATGGACTGGATGGAAGGAGGCATGTGACCTGGAGTGTGGTGGGCTTGTGTATGGAGCATTCCACAATCAATGGGACAGGCAACTCCCGGCATTTGTCATGTTGTTCTTATACCCTCAAGACTCTTAGCCCTTTATGAGGGACATGGGCATCCAGGTTTCTTCCTGTGGCAGAGAGCTGGGTCTGTGCCTAATGAAGGGTTGTTGTGGGCTGAATTTAACTGGGGTCAGGGGTTCTCTGCAGAATGTGACTTTGGGCTGGTAAACATCCGAGCTGTCCTAACTGCCTCTTAGATACGTTCACCCAAGTTGGTAAGAAATAGGACCCTGCACCTAATAAGGATTTCACTAACCTTTCTGTCTGGTGGTTGGCCCGGTCACTGAAGGCACACTTCATAATGGTGTCTAACGTCATCAAGGAGATGTGTCCAAAGATCTCCAGAGATGAGTTCTGGCTGAGGAGCTCCTCCCATTTGTCCTGTGGTAGAGGGACACATATACCTTTCTCTACTTCTTTAAAAGACCCATGCTAACAAGACTAGACTCTCTCTGCCTCTCCAAATATTCTGAATGATGCCCTCACTTTCTAAAGCAGTTGTGTTTCATCAGTTTAGGACCATTTAGCCATTTGTTTGTAATGCGGTGAGTATTTTCTCAGAATATACTCTGAGAAAGTTGTTAGTTAATTTTCATTTAATTAATCATGATCTCTTACCATCTGACTTAGGAAGAAGTTTGGTAATAACCGCCTTTTAGCAGATCAGAAAACATTGTTTTTCAGGGGACTCAGGGTAAACATTTGTGTCTTGGGGTTGATCTACACGTGAAAAACAGGTGAAGTCCCAGTTTAGGGAGCAAGAGTCAAGGCAAAGGAAAGGTCAAAGGGCTAAGACTGGGGTTTCTAAAGAAGGGATATCAGGGACTTCAGTTCCCCTTTTGCAACAAATGTCAGTTGAGCACAGTGAGTGAGAAATAGAGTCATGCTCAGAGTTGATGTTATGGCAGGACCCAGCTTTGGGGATAGAGACCTGGTCTCCATTTCCCTCCGTGGAGCATCTAAAACCCATCAGAAGCCTTCAGCCCCAGCCCAGAGCCCACCTGAGTGACCACATGGGATGTCCACAATGCCTTTGAAGCTCCTACTGCCTAGACCAGCCAGGAGAAGCTTGTCCTGTTGTCTAGGGGCATTGACTACTCTTCCTGCCCAAATCAAACACATGAAAGCAGGAGGAGAAGGGACCTTTTATCCACCATGACTGACTCTCCTATGGGCAATGAGCAAAGAGTGGAGAAAATAGGTGCCTGGGTCCTTTCCTATTCCATCTATCCTCAGGGGGCCCTGTCTCATAATATGGTATAAGTGGGTGAATCTGGGGGCCATGTCTAATGGATGTCTGAAGGACACAGCTGTCTGAGAGTGGACTTTGTGAACTGTGCTGTGGGTGTGAGTGTGCAGGTGGGCAGGGTTTGAACTTACCAGCATCACTTGGACAGAGTCGGCCATGAGCCCCACA